ATTTTCCCCCAGTCATTCAGCCCTACACTGAATGTTTACTCCTTTTTTATACAGAAAGAGATGTGAGGCAATGATCATTTTATTCTGCAGTCACATTTTTAAAATAGTTATAATACTAAATAAACTTTGAGTCAGACTGCATAATGTATATGTTAAATCGCAGCCTTTGCATTTTGCTATTTGCATTGTTCCAAATTTAGCTTTAAAATGTAATTGTTCAGTTATGGTGAATAACTGTTTTTTTTTTTTTATTTTAATACACCTTAGCAAGAACAAGCTCCTTTCAAACTAACTCTCTGCACAGTTTTAACGCAAAATGCTTATGACTAAGTTGACTAACTGCAGATATTTTTGATTTCAGTTGCTGGTAGTCGGTGGTTCCTTTGGCCTGCGAGAGTTTACACAAATCCGATATGATGCCCAAAAGCTCCAAAGAAAGGTTTGTATTAACTTCACCTTGGGTCTATTTTACAATCCAGCCAAAGTTGCCCATAATTTATTAGAGTTTTGGTTAAATTTAGATTCTCAGGTCTACATCAGAACACAAAATTCGTGAGAAAACTCACATACAAGTACTTCAAGAGTTAAACTGTCTTTGTGCTGTCATGTAGCCAGTGTGCAAATACTCCTCCCAGTGGTTACGACTGTAATTGCACTAAAGATGTGAATTTCTTCCTAATGGACAGCGTATCAATGAAACACATGTAGAGATGTTTGGACATTTTCAAGGACTGCTGGAATCTGACATTTGAGTGTGGTACATTCATTATTTTTTGAGGAATTTAAATGAGATACTTTGCCTATCCATCATTCCAGAAAGACACTGCAGGCAACAGGCTTTTCTAACCCATTTAGGAGTGAGTCAGTACAGAGCAAGATGTGAGAACGAGCTCTAATAATTCATTAAATGACAACCAATTCATTAAAATGACAGAAGACCTACACTTTGTTTAAAGCCATTACAGTCTGATGAGCGCGCTGCGAGGGGAAGTAGCTGTTTTGTGCTATTTTACTGTGACAAACGCCGATGCGTGTCATCTGGGTGGGAGCCAGATGGCAGGGGCATCTTTTCTTATTACTGTCCATGTGAGGCGGCACTAGACTGTGGATGATGGTGGTGGGGGAGGAGGGCACCGAGCCCCTGGCAGCGAGCCTGTGCAGCGGCCCCCACACTGCTCGCTCTCATCTGACGGGGCCTCCGGCAGACCGAACTCACTCGTCTAAGACCCTGTGGAGTGAAGATTCAACTCTGCTCAGTGTGTGTGTGTATGTGTGTGTGTGCATGTGTAATTTAATGCACTGAATAGCTAAACAGTTGTTAAAATGCACATGATTAAAACCGCTGTTCCAGTTTTTAGTTGCACTGTTGTCAGCCGACTCCATTATTTCGTTCTCACAGATATTTGCTCACTTATGATATATTTGCTCACTGAAAGCCCTGTCTGCTGAGAGGAAGTCACTGTGTGATCCAATTTGCATTTTCTCTTGAATGATTTAATTTTGCCTGGAGGCAGAGACGAACTTGGAGGCCTTTTGTCTTCCCTGTCCAGGTTTTTCTAAGCTTTCCTCACTTCTGGTTTGTTTGTGAGGTTCAGTTACGGCTGCAAACACCTTCATCGCAGGTATCACACTAATTACTGAGGCTATTCATTACCTGGTCTGAAGGCTGCAAAATATTCTATATATTATTTATTAGCCGTAGTAATGTAGGTCTAATTATAAATCAATCATGGAATTATGGAACTCATCAGTCACCCGGGTAACTACGGCATTATTGCTGTGAAATATTAGAACTCATTAAAAGTAATGATTCAGAATGGGATTCATTTCAGTCCTATTCTCAGGCAAAATCAATTTGAATTGCAAAGCCCAGATAGCTCCGTCGGACCCCGCTCGCAAAACCCTCTGACGTAGAATTTTAATTTTTTTCTTTACTGAAGCTGGTGATGTTGATGCCAAATCAAGCAGAATAATTTACAGAGTAAAGGCAGGGGAAAGTCGATCCTCCCTGCGGGTTTGAAGAGGCTCGACTCTGACACCGGTGAGAAAAAGGCTTCACTGGTTCCCTCACTCACACAAAGCTATAGAAGAAAACTAATTCACGTCTTCTGCAGATTTCATCATTCATACATGCTAATGTTTAATAATAATACATGAGGAGATGGGGGAGATCTCAGCGCTTCAGTTGAAAGCTACAACTGTACAAACCGTCTCTCGCTTCATTCTGTTTGTAATTTCTCGAGCACTTTTACTATCAAATGAGTTATTCAAACAGGGAGACCCTCCACACGTTCTGTTCCTGCTCCTCATCTCTCTTTGAGTCTCCCTTTTGTGCCGTGGTGATCGGATGAGTCAGAAAGCTCCGTGCACATTTTATTTCTTCTCTCCTCTCTCGCAGATGGATCCCACACTGGAGGCTAAAGTGAACATGCAGAAGCAGTCGGTCATACTGGAGGAGGAGTACGAGGTAAGAGAAGTCGGGCTGAGACACCCTGAGGGGGGAGTAGATGAAAGAATCTAACCGGCGTCTGCAAGAAAGTTGTGATGGGAGGCAGTTGTGTTTTTATGGCTTGTCTTCAAGTCACAGAATGCTTTTATAACACAATTTTAGTTGTGCAATTAAGAAATTTCAAGCGCGAGATTCACTTACTGAGCTATTCCTGAGGCGTTCATGTCCTGTGAAGGTGTCGGTATGAGATCACAACAGATAACCAGTAGCTGTGTGTGTTTTATACTGTAAGTGGGAAAACGGAGCCTAAAACAGTAGTTCAGGGATTAATAGGTGAACATTTGTTACTTATTAGGTGTGTTTATTAAAGTACCTTTTCCTGATTTCATGGGAAACATTAAGCTCTGTTCAGACATATTTAACGTTGCTGCTTCATGAATCTGCAAAAGTGACGGTATTCTGTCATTCAGATGTAGATTAATGCTACTCAAGCTTCATGCAGACATAACGGACTGATGGAGAACGCTTTGGGAAGACTGTTTTAGAATCAGAATCAGAAATACTTTATTTATGCTTGAGGACCATGTTGCTTACGTTACAGTTGCTCCCATTCAATGTCATAGAAATATAAATGATACAAAAATATATAAACATAAGTAGAAAAAGCATAAAATGTGCATTTTCTAAGAAAATAAAATGTACATATTCTGTACACTTTGTCACACTCAGTACATTGGACAGCACACAAATTATATATCATACATGATGGAAAAGTAAAGAAAAGACTAAATCTAAATCCTCCACTTACATGTGACTCTCGGACAGCTCCTCTGTCATATTTCTGCACAGTGTGACCTGCTGTTACATCCTGGTTAAGTTCAGTCTCCATGTAGGGGAGGATTTATAGTTCTAAGTAATCATTAAATCAGCTGATCTGCTGCTGTTTGATGCTGCTGCAGGTATTTTAATAAACTCAGAGGAAAAACTCCTGCAAACAGCCGGAAGCAACAAACTAAACTTCAGCTCTTGTTAAAGTTTTCTTAGAGCCCAGATTAAAGTTCGTTATCAGTGTGTGTCATTAATCTGACCTGCAGACGCTTTTCATTTATCACAGTAAGGTTTTATTTTTATGGACATTTTAGGTTATAACAGGTGTGAAGCTGCAGAGCAAAGTGACTGAGATTTGGGGATTTCAGCCACACAAACTGTATTGTTTGCGCTCTCTGCTACGTTTTTGGAACAAATGTGGAAAAAGTCTGGCTTGTGCGTGTCTATATGTTAATACAGCTGCATAACGTTGAGACTTGTGTTAAGACTGATAAAGAAATGTGACTCCGTAGGTCTGACATGGTGAGATTGCCGTCACATCTTTTCCATTCAGCATGATGCTGACACATTCAGATGAACAGAATCAGACGAGTTTACTGTCAAGTTGATTTTAACATGCAAGGAATTGAACTTTTAGTGCAGAACAGTAACATATAGTTAAAAAGAAAAAGGAGTGTGTGTCTCAAAGAGGATTAGTGAGCATATATGTGTTCCCAAGGTCAAGAACTAAAACTCACACTTAAACTGTAGTTTCTTCATGTACCTATAAACACACAGGTCAGTCGGAATGTGAAAATATAGGCTTATACTTGTAGTTTTAGAATTTTTTCACAGTTTGTTTAGAGAAAATGAGAATTTTAGGTATTTCCTTGCGTGCTACAGGGCCACGGTCAAAGAGTATTTGCAGATAAGCTGAGCAGCAGCAGCAGCACTGCTCTTTATTTGGGCATTAAGTATTGAATGCTGATGTAAAGTTCCCTTAAACGATTGCTGAAGTTTGAGTGAAAACATTAAATGGACGTCCTGAGACGAAGGCCCAGATGTAACTTTACCATCAGTCTACTGTGTTGGGTTGTTCTGTCTGGTTTCTAACTCAAACTCTTGCCGATTAATCATTCCTAATTGAATATTGTCTATGGGCAGTTGACAAATGATTACTAGCAAACCCAGTATAAGAAACATTGGTGCTAATATTGCTGAACACTGCAGGGCAGAGGGCCACATCTCCACCGTCTCTCCTGGGAGTGAAGTGGGTGTGAGTGTTGGATTCAATTCAATTTTATTTATATAGAGCCATTTCACACCATAAGTCATCTCAGGCTACTTCACATAGTAAGGATTGTTTCAGAAAGTTACCGACATGTTCAGACACAGCAGCTCCCCCCTCTCCCGATGCGACGCTGGAAACATAAGGAGGGAGGTGGTTTCTAAAACTATTTGACCATCCAGCAGACACTTCTGAAGAAGTGTGCTGGCAGCTCAATTCTTCTCATCTGTGTGACCCAACAGATGGTCAGAATTTTCTACTTCAAAGTGCATCAAGTAAACTGAGAAGAAGAAAATAACATCTTGTGTTCTTGTGCAGACTTGGTGCTTGTATGCATGCACACACTGCTGCAGAGCTGAGAGCTATGGTACAGTTTTCAGACACTGTTTTATGTCTCTTTATGATTCAATATTATTTGTAATGGAAACTCTTAACACCAAAACCCACAAGTTGGATTTAAATGTTGTCTTTTGAAAAAAAAAAAAAACAGAACTTGCAGCATTGCTCAGAGCCAGAAACTGTAAAATCTAAAGAAAATCATCAGAATTTCAACTTTTTGACGCTTCTTGAAATAATCATGAATGACGAGATTAAAACAAAACCTAAAATTGTCACAATTAATCAAAGGCTGATTGGATTTTTTTGTGAAATCCTTTTTTTTTTTTTTTAGTTTGTTCACATTTCCAATTAAATACGACTTGTATGTGATCTGCTGTGTGAACTTCATACGACCCAAAAGTGTCCCGCATGTGCAGAAAAGGACACAACGATGTCACACGTAGCTCAGTGTTAGCAGAAGTAAACATGGATGTAACGGTTTGTCGTGTATCGATGACGTGTAGGTCAGATAAATGCGACCTGGCCGTTCAGACAAAAGTCTCATGGCTAAAGATCAGATACCTGTCGGATTTAGGACCTCATGTCCAAGTGGCCTCGTTCGCATTTGATAAAAATTGGATCTGTGTTGTTCAGACTGCCATGAAAAAATCAGATACAGGTCGCATAGGGGCAAAAAAATCGGATTTGGGTCATTTTAGCCTGCTGTGTGAACGTAGCCAAAGATACTTTATTCTACGTTTAGTTTGAAAATGCACCAAGACTCTGGTAGAAAAACAAAAATAGATAAAAATCCTGCCCTCCTTGACACAGTCATGAAGCCGTTAGCGACTCAACTGCCAATCGTGTGACTTTTCGGCTGAACTGCAGGTTGTGATTATCAGTATGTAGACTCCCATTTTTTCCAGTGTTGGTAACACTTGTGGGCTCTTGGAAAACTGTTGTTCATGTGGATTCCAGGTTTTTTCAATATTTGTAAATGAATAATAAAAGAAATAAAACTTTTTTTTTTTCTTCTTTTTTTGAAGATTCGTGGCTTTTTAACAGTTGTACTGCACAGAAGACTTTATTGAGTTCTCTTTGCTTCTAGCTGAGGTTGTTGTGTTTCCACAGTGGTGCAGAACTTCAGGGCAAAAGAACCACCCAGAAACTGCTCGGGCTTCGGAGAGATGAACCTTTTTCGTGTCTTTTTGTTTCTCTGCAGAAGTTAAAGGAGCTGAAACTGGACGAGTGGAAGAACATCCGTGGTCCTCGTCCCTGGGAGGACTCCAAGGAGTACCAGGATCAGCAGCGCAGTAATCTGAGCAAAAACAACTGAGACTCAAGGATGCCAGCAGTGGAGGCCGGAGAGCTCTGAAGACGCTGCTGAGCTTCAGGGACTTCAGACTTGTTGGGACACATTCAGGACTGCTACTGGTTACAATTACGCCACATGAGCAAAGTCGGCCCCTTAAGTTCAGATGATTCTTCTAACTTTGTACACAAACGTATGAATCAGTCACCTGTTGGAGGTTCTTCTGCAGCCTGATCAGGAGTTTGTGCTGACAAGCAGCCAGTAGGTGGCACATCTGTGTCCTGCTGCACAGAGACCAAGGTGTGATTTCCATGTCTCAATAAATTATTACTGTTGATCCAAAGCGTTACCTCTGCTTTCATTTTGTTTTTGACAAAAGCTCGTGGATGTGGTGAGTCTTTGTTTACAATGGTGTTGCATTGATTTACCAGTTGAAAGTATAAAAGAATAAATAACACAGCGGTCCAGCCTTTCCTCAGGCTTTATAGGTCTCGACAGTAATCTGTTTCTCTGACAGTTATTACTTTGCACTGCGGTGGATTTATTGCATTTATAATGGAAATGGTATTACCTTTTGCGTTTTCTTTTTCCTTTTTTTTTTTCTTTTTTCGCTCGTGCAAAACAAAAGAACACAATTTTTGCTGCGTGCCACAACGTCTTCAGATTGGCGCCTATAACTAATGTGTGGGTGAGTGACAGGTAATGCATGTACTGTCTCGCCTTGTTCGCCTCTGAAATGAGAAGTAATGAACACTGTTCAGGTGCGTACGCCCGGATACAAACGTCTTGGGATGTATTTTCTGTAATATGATATTTATGTTCATGATTTTCGAGTCGCTTTCATGCCCAGTGTTCTCAGGCTGGGCGAAACAAGCAGCAGATCTAACGTGAGGATTATGTTGTTGTTGTTTTTTTTTCATACACAGGTTGTACAAAAATGCATCTTGTTCCCAGTGTTGCTTTGTCATCGGCTGTTTACGAGGCAGAGCCGCTATGAAGTCGCGACCGCCTCTAATCCGCCAAACACATCTGAATGACAAAGCGGAGTAATCAAGTGTTTGTCACAGGATTAACAGATCACATCAAGGCTTTCATGTCAGGCGGCGTGTTGATAAAAATGTCTGCTGCCTCTGAAAGGGGCTTCTAAATTTAGAGGAGCCACATGTTGGTGCAGCTGTAATCTTGGAGGTGAATCACACACTTATTGTAGAAGCTCCACAGGCTGGCTCTGGGCTGTTTTTGATTAGATACACACTGTCTGAAAGTCAGAACCACGGCGCTGCTGCTTCTAACTGCGGGACAGAAGGAATATTGGGCTCGATGATGCTCAATAAGACAGTGTGAACTGTTTGTTAGAGGACGTGGATGATACTGTACGGTTGGCTGCAGCGAGAGGGGAAGTAGTCACATCTTTTGCTTAAATACTCCTCACAAAGGCATCATTTGAAAACACTCTGCAACTGTAAGTCATGCTGTTTGTTTCTAATGGACTCCTGCACGCTGTCCAACTTGTGAAAATAAATGTATTTGCACTGGTTTAGGTGCTTGTTAATCAGCAGGCAAATGGTTTGTTATAAAGAGAAGCCAAAGTTAAGACTGCAACCAGTCATCGTCCCTGTGTGCTACACTAACCCGCCACTTTATTAGGTACACCTTGCTAGTCCTGGGTTGGACCCCCTTTTGCCTTCAGAACTGCCTTAATCCTTTGTGGCATAGATTCAACAAGGAACTGGAAACAGTCCTCAGAGGTTTTGCTCCATATTGACATGATAGCAACACGCAGTTGCTGCAGATTTGTCGGCTGCACATCCATGATGCGAATCTACCGTCCCACCACATCCCAAAGGTGCTCTATTGGATGGAGATCTGGTGAGTGTGGAGGCCATTGGAGTACAGCGAACTCACTGTCATGTTCAAGAAACCAGTCTGATTGATTCGCGCTTTATGACATGGTGCCTTATCCTGTTGGAAGTAGTCATCAGAAGATGAGTACACTGTGGTCATAAAGGGATGGACATGGTCAGCAACAATACTCAGGTCCGCTGTGGCGTTGACACGATGCTCAATTGGTACTAAGGGGCCCAAAGTGTGCCAAGAAAATATCCCCCGCACCATTACACCACCACCACCAGCCTGAACCGTTAATACAAGGCAGGATGGATCCATTCTTTCATGTTGTTGACGCCAAATTCTGACCCTACCATCCCAATGTCGCAGCAGAAATCGAGACTCATCAGACCAGGCAACGTTTTTCCAATCTTCTATTATCCAATTTTGGTGAGCCTGTGTGAATTGTAGCCTCAGTTTCCTGTTCTCAGCTGACAGGAGTGGCACCCGGTGTGGTCTTCTGCTGCTGTAGCCCATCCGCCTCAAGGTTCGATGTGATGTGCATTCAGAGACGCTATTCTGCATACCTGGGTTGTAACGAGTGGTTATTTGAGTTATTTTCTATCAGCTCGAACCAGTCTGGCCATTCTCCTCTGACCTCTGGCATCAACAAGGCGTTTGCGCCCACAGAACTGCCGTTCACTGGATATCTTCTCTTATTCGGAACATTCTCTGTAAACCCTACAGATGATTGTGCGTGAAAATCCCAGTAGATCAGCAGTTTCTGAAATACTCAGACCAACCCGTCTGGCACCAACAACCATGCCACGTTCAAAGTCACTTAAATCACCTTTCTTCCCCATCCTGATGCTCAGTTTGAACTGCAGCAGATCGTCTTGACCATGTCCACATACCTAAATGCATTGAGTTGCTGCCGTGTGATTGGCCGATTAGAAATTTGTGTTAACGAGCAGTTGGACAGGTGTACCTAATAAAGTGGCCGGTGAGTGTATATTAAGGTAATAATACTACACACTGTGTAAGTGAATGACAATTTTAATTATGAACGGCTGACATACTATCATCTGAGAGCCAAACAACTACATTCTTTAAAGAAAACGGACATAAATTTACAAAATCAGGGGCAACAAGCAGAAGAACCTGCAGGGATACATTGACAATACATGACAGGTGAATTTAAAAAAAAAAACAAAAAACATGGTTAATTAATAGAATCGTTTGAAAGATCTTGACATATTTATTATTATCTGCTCATAAAACATACTTACATAGAAAATAATCATCAAATTAAGCTCTTCTTTCAGAAACAATGGAGACGAACATTCACATTTGCAGCAGAAAACATTCAACACAGCATGAAGGAAACGTCAACATCAGTCATACATTTCCTTAAATCCTCTCCTGTTCAAGATACACATCCACAATCCACATGAAAGCCTCCAGAAATCCATGCAGCATCAATGTATGCATGTATAAATAGACACAATGGTGTTATTATTTTGTGTGATTTAATGCACAGGAAGCTTTGTTGATTCAACGTGATGAGAAGAAGAAGATGATGGTTCATCATTCGCTAAGAGCTATTCTACCCTGTGGTGAGATAAAACTTGATAAATCCCCGCAATGAAAGGGTTTGAATCACACATACCGATGGTTTAGTCTCTGAAAAGTTGACATTCATTTACAGGACATACACTCAGATACAGCAGACCAATATAACAGAGGACAAGTATCGTCACTAAATTTACACAAACTTCCTACCACCAACGAAAAAGTTATCAATAATAATTCATGCAGGAAAATTCTACCAAGGGCTGAGACGTGAGGATGTTCAAAAACAAGAAAGAATTTAAGAGGAGGTAACTAAAATAGCTGAGAAACAAACTCACTGAGATTGGCAGCCGTACGTCTATGTACACAGTCCATCTGCCGTTTGATGGAATAAGTAAAGCCGCCCCAGATCTTACATTTACAGTATGAGTCAGAGGAGGAGCATCTAATCTCCTCCAAATAAAGGCAGGACATCATATCACTCTTGCACTTCTTTAAACAAAGAAGTGGGGGTTGATTTCTCTTCGTTCAGCTGCAACCAAACGAAAGCCTGCCAGGCGTCGTGCTGCATGAGGGAGCATCCACAACAACCAGAACGGCAGTCTCTGATCATTTGTTTCCCAATTATTCCATTTTTTTTTTTTGTGCTTATAGCCAGGAAACATACTTCTGAAAATTGAACAGCTCTTTCATGTGCACGTAACGCTCAGGCACGATTTCTGTGGTAGAAAGTAGAGCTACAGAGAAAGTGGAATCATGATCATCATGCACAAAGTGTGAAATGTTTCATCAACTGCTGGATGGTTTGTCGTTAGAGTTGATTTGTGCATTCATGGTGAGAACAGAGTGAAATAACTTGTGTAATCTCCTTATTTCTCATCCAGCACCTGATTGTCCAATATGTCGAATATTTGCACATCAGCCCAGTATCCACTGTACTATGTGTTTAGGTTCATTAGCAACAGTTAGCATGCTAACACAATTAACCGTCTAAATGCCAAAACCCCAAAGTGAGTTATGTTGTTGTTTTTTTTTCTTTACTTTTTTAGATTTTATTTTATTTTTTTAATTGCACCATCATAATGTCAAAAAAAAAAAACTGTAGAACCAGAATTGGCAGAATGTCGACTTTCCAACAGTCCTTGTCTGTAATAAGTGTGACGTGTGGTTCCATCAGAAAAAAAAATTAAACTTAAAAATGGTGATATTTCGTCAATTTTTTTTCAGAAACTTGTGCAAAATACATTAGATCGTGCAAAACAGTAAAATTCTGCACTCACTGGTGCAACCAAGAAGCCACAAGTGACTCGTCTGTGTGAAAAAGAGTCACATGACAAAGATTCAGGAAGTGTGTGGCTACCGTTAACATGGAGGCTACATCCATCTTTGTATACAGTCTGTGATGGTGACGATTAGCTTTCACATAACGCAGCAGGGCAGGTAATGATGAGAAAAGCTTATAATAAATAAATATAAACAAAGCACAATAGATTCTTTAAAGAACGTCCATGGCAGCCTGAACCTTGAACATTGTAATGTTGTTAAACAGGATTAAAAATACTGTGTCTGGTTTCATATACTTTTACTGATAAATACGTAATCTAATATTGTCCATTTTTACAACAGACCAAACATCCCAGAAATGACAACATCAAGTTGACATTCATTTAAAACGAAATGGAAATTACAACGAATGCCTCCATGACCACAGGCAACTAAAACAAACAAAAGAATTCAAAATAAATAAATAAAAACGCTACACTAGTACATATCCAGAGTTTAAATCTAACAGCGATGCACGAATGCCTGAAAAGTTTGCAGCTCTGCTTGTTAACCGGCTTCTAACAAAGCGGAGCCCTCAGTTATTCACCTTTTGTGAAGGTATTTGCTACGATCTTTATGAGCTGAATTCAACATATGAAAGATCCCATATTAAGTGTTTCC